GCCGCTGCAGCGGTTGGCCGCCGCAAGGAGACGCGAGAGGCCGCCACGCAGGAGCAGGCCGAGCAGGTGCACGCAGACAAGTGGCGCGATGTCATGCAGGCTGTTGCCGCCCGCGGGTCCCGTGTGCGCGTGCGTGAGGAAGAGGAGGATGAGCGCGCGCGCCGCGTGCACGCCGAGCGCATGCACGACGTGATGGAGAGCGTTGTTCGCCACCGTCACCAGCTGGAGGCCATTGCGGCCATGGACGCTGAGCGGCGGCGGCGGCTTGCAGAGCACGGCTACCGCCAGCGACACGGGTACCTCATGCCCGCGCACGTGCGCAGCGCCCTTGGTGACGTGCACCGCGAGCTGTGTGCGGTGGTGAGCCTGCGGCAGGCGGCACAGATGCAGGACGAGCGCGACTATGCCCGCCTGCAGGAACAGCAGCGCTCGGCCATGCTGCACGACCTGATGCGCCACGCCAAGCTGTGGCAGGTGCACCGGCAGGAGGAGGTTGCTCGCGCGGAGCTTGCAGATGCGCAGCGGCACCTCTCGCGCCGCCAGCAGTCGACCCACTCGGACCTGCTCACGGAGCTGCAGCTGCGCCACGCCTGCTCCCCGGTGCCCGTCATGTGAACCAGAGCAACTGTGTTTTGTGTCTGTGCTCATAATGATGCTTTGACGTGTGTGTGTGTGTGTGTGTGTTTGCGTGTGCGCATGTGTGTTTGTGTGTGCGCATGTGCATGTGTGTGTGTGTTTGTGTGTGCGCGCGCGCATGTGCATGTGTGTGTGTGGTTGCTGTTGCTTACTTGCCAATGGGCAATGTCGTCCATACTTGACGCCGCGTGTTGGCGCGAGGTCACATGTCATCATCAAACCTTAAACTGAGAGAACCACATTTGAATTTCCCGCCACAAAGCAGCAGAAGAAAAGGCGGAAGGAAGGAGCGGTGAGTGGTGTGGATGGGATAGTGATAGTGTGGATGTGATACGTGAGTGTGTGTGGGTGTGTGGGTGTGTGGGTGTGTGACCAACAGCTCACGTTTCGTGTACGTGCATGTGTATGCTCGGCATTGTTATTGTTGTCGCTGCTGTTGACAGATGGAGGCAAGCAGTCCCGATTCGTGGGCTGCTCTTTGGCTCGACAGCATCATGCCTTGCCGGAGATCGGGTCAGTGTCTATGTGTGTGTGTGTGTGTGTCTATGTGTGTGTGTGTGCGTGCGTGTCGTGTGTTTCGTGACAATCTCTAGAGGGATACTGCGTTCTGCGCTCGACCGGGCTCGGGGACAAGCATATCACATGAACGGAGATATTGACTGGTTAACTGACGTGACCATCCCCTGGCGCGTTGGCAGAGTAGCCCTGTTCACTGCTCGTCAACCAACGTTGGACTCAAGCCCATAGTTGGTGTCTCACTAGATGAGGGGAACACTCTATTGGGCACCTGGCTTATCTCCATGCTCGCTCACACATCGGCGGATCCCTGTGTCGTGTGTGTGTGTGTGTGTGTGTGTGTGTGTGTGTGTGTGTGTGTGTGTGTGTGTGTGTGTGTGTGTCTTTGGCCGTCAGTGTGCGTTGCAAGCGTTCTCCCTCGCTCTGTTCTTCGCAGGCGCAGGCGTTCTCCCTCGCCCTTTACCCACCTCACCCACCCACAGTGACGATGCCGATTGATGTGGTGAAGGTACGGTTACAGATGCAAGGGGCTGATGGTACACGACAGTATCATGGCATGATTGATGCTGGGGTGAAAACAGCGCGCAGGGAGGGAATCACAGCACTATGGAAAGGTCTGCAACCGGCTCTTGTTCGACAGGTTGGTTGGTCAATGTGTGTCTGTGTCTGTGTGTCTGTGTGTGTGTGTGTGTGTGTGTGTGTGTGTGTGTGTGTGTGTCTGTGTGTCTGTGTGTATTTGTGTGTGTGCATGTGTGTGTATTTGTCTGTGTATCTGTATCTGTGTACGCGGCTGTGCCTGTGTGCTCTGTGTCTGTGTGGGTTGCTGTGTGGCTGTGAGCGGGTGTTTGTGTTTGTTCGCATGTGCATGCAATTATGCCTGTGTGTCTGCTTCTGCCTGCGTCAGCTTGCATGTGCCGCCACGCCATTGTTTGTACTTGAGCTCACACTCTGCTGTGCTCGCTCCATTCAATTTGAACCATGTCTGCATCAGTTCTTCTATGGTGGGCTCCGGTACGTGCACAGTTGCGTGGTTTGTTTTCACAGCCTGATCCATCTCTCCGCTCCGGCGCGTGGAACGCACGCAGTGCACACATCATCGTGTGACGCTCTTGACACCTGGACTGATTATCCCCGTTCCTTTCCACCACCACGCCTTCAACCAGATACGGCATGTATGCGCCGATCCGCAACATGATTGGAGTCGATGCCAACACACCGAAGCACTTGATCCCGTTCCACATGAAGTTCCTTGCGGGCGGCATATCCGGGGCGCTTGCCGCCTTTTTCGCCAACCCAACAGACCTCATGAAGGTGCGTGTGTGCGTGTGTGTGTGCGTGTGTGTGCATGTGTGTGTCTGTGTGTGCATGTGCGTGTGTCTGTGTGTGTGTGTGTCTGTGTGTGTCTGTGTCTGTGTGTGTCTGTGTGTCTGTGTGTGTCTGTGTCTGTGTGTGTGTCTGCGTGTGTCTGTGTGTGTGTGTGCCTGTCTGCCTCTCCGTCTGCCTGGCTGTCTGTCTCTTGCCAATCGACTGTCATCAAGCGTTGCACAAACACCTCCCCTTCACTCTCCACACAAACACACAAACACACACACACACGTGTGCGCATGCTTTCTCTCTGCTTGGGGTTGTTTGTGCAGGTCAGACTTCAAGTGGATGGGATGAAAGGATCGCCACCGCAATACCGCGGAATGTGGCACTGCTTCCGGTGAGGAGGGAATCGCCTGCTGCCACGTGTGTGCTTGATGTTCATTTGAGATGCAACACAACATGAAACGGGGACAAGCAGATGCCCGCATTCCCACAAGCTTGCAAACAAAACGCATGGACCGTCAACAGCACCTCATCTGTACTCCCCTTTCTCCGTCTTTCTTCATCGTTCTCCATCTTTCTTCATTCTTCCCCATGTTTTCCCCTCAAACTCCGGCCGGTCCTCCTCTTCATTCTTCATTGGTGTTTTCGGCTGTGCAGCACGATTGTGAAGCAGGAGGGGGTGCTTGGGCTGTGGAAGGGTTCTGGCCCCACCATGGGCCGCGCCACCACCCTTGCCGCGGTCGAGCTGTCGTCCTACGACGAGGTACGCGTGCTGGACGTTGCATGTTTGTTCGTGCGTCGCTGTGCGTGCGTGCGTGTGTGTGTGTGTGTGTGTGTGTGTGTGTGTGTGTGTGTGTGTGTGTGTGTGTGTGTCGCTGTGTGTGTCGCTGTATGTGTATGTGTGTGTTTATCTCTGTGTGTCTTTGTATCTTTGTGTGTGCATGTTTAACGCTGCATGTGTAAATATGTGTGTGTGCATGTCACCATCAATCTGCAGATCAAGAAACAGCTGACGGAGCGCGGGCTTGTGCAGCCGCGCACTGTATCGGGCGTGCTTGTCACGTCCATGACCACGGGCCTCATCTGCGCCCTCACCTCCAGCCCTTTCGATGGTGCGTGAGTGAGCATGGTATGGGGATGCTGGGTGTTGAACCTCTTGTCGTGGTGGCGGCGGCAGTGGTGGTGGTGGTGGTGATGATGGTGGTTGTGGTTGTTGTGGAGATGCCCATTCATGCCCATGTTGATGCTTTTATCGACAGTGGGAGGTTTTGCTGTCTTGATTTCTTCACCACACAGCGCACTCACGATCATATAACACACCACACACACACAAATACACACAAACACACACAAACACCACACACAAACACACAAACACACAAACACACATACACACATGCATACATACACTTTGTATTCTCGACCTCACTGACCTGCACTGGCCTGCAGTTGTGAAGAGCCGCGTGATGGGCCAGCCCGTTGGGCCAAATGGACGAGGCATCCTCTACTCCGGCATGATCCACTGCTTTGCCAAGGTTAGCGACGCCAGTTTGTGTGCATGTTTGAGTGTGTTTGAGGGTGTTTGTGTGTGTATCGGTGGATGTGTGGGATGGTTTCTTTCGTGAATCCAGCCACTGATCACACGGTTGGTCCACATTGCACAATGCCCTACACACACACACACACACACACACACACACACACACACACACACACACACACATACATACACACACACACATACATACACACACACATACATACACATGCACACACACACAGACGGTGCGGACGGAAGGGGTGCTGGCATTGTACAAAGGCTTCTTTCCAAACTGGGGGCGGCTTGGTCCCAGAGCGGTCATGTGTTTTGTGGTCATGGAAACACTCAACGAATGGCTCAAGCACTACTGACACCATTTGTGCAAAACCGGCCTGCATGCCGTTGTTACAACTTGCCACACACACACACACTCTCACTCACACACACACACACACACACACACACACACACACACGCTCTCCCTCTCCTCATTCAAAACTCCCCACTGGTGGACGGCGTTAAATCGTCAGCGCGGGCGTGCAATTTGCAACGCGAGCAACAACTGTGAGTGCACGAAATTTTGTGGGCACGGTTGCAAAACGGCGGACGCAAGCCAGCAAGCAAGCAAGCCAGCCAGCCAAGCCAGCGATGTTGACATGACTCACCACAGAAGTTCCCAGCAGCGGTGCTTGCACTGTGTCACAAGTAGACAAGTACTCACACCGCCGGCCCACTTGTTCAGCACGCAGCCTTGGGCCGTCAAACCCTCGAAACGGAGGGGAAGGCCACAAATGCTTACGCGCGCTGCATGGATGTGCTGGACAAGCGGTGTCTGCAGCAACCCTGAGGCTACCACGTCGGGAACCCTGCTGACCACCGCCCAAAGAGATTGCTCTGCTTTGACGAGGGTCGGTGACACCAAAGCAAGACCGCCGACGAGGCAGATGCCCAGAGGGCTGACTGCCACGAGGCTGACTGCAAAGACTGCCACCAAAGG